ATTTTAGCACGGGTTTCCTGAGACCTGAAGCAAATTCCAAGGGTTACTCTGGGGTAAAATGGTTGCGAAAAGCTGCATTATAATAAGACATGCAAGGAATTTATTCATGCAGACATGTCAAGTTACTGAGAGGTCCATTAATTAATTAAAGAACAGGAACACTGAAAGTGAACTTCTCCTTTAATTACCCTGATGACTTCCCCCTTTAGCTTATATCGAGGATAAAGTTAGATCTTACAAAGCAACCATCTAAAAGGCTAAAATGAGTACAAAGATGAAACACGGGCAAGTTGTTTGTAACATAATTTCCCATAAATGTTTTCACACCACAAATACAGAAAGTACTGTTGTGAAACTGTGAAAGTGCTGGCACATAAACTGTAGTCAGTGGTACAACTACATTGTTGTAGATTTGCACAGTCTTCCATGAGTGCAGTGCAGGTTTGGGCTGTAACCTAGGACTAATGATAGAGATGTGGGGTACAATAAGCCCAGGGCCCAACCAGTCTATGGACCCAAAGCTCTCCGGCACTGCTTATTTATTTATTTATTCTTGTATCAGATTGACAGTATTTAAAAAGACTTTGTCAGGAATTTGGGACTGCTGCAGGTATAAAGTGCAGATACCCAGGGCATCACTGGCCAGAAGCAAAGAAGCTTTGCCAGTCAGAACATCCTGAGATTCAATCGAGATGGAAAGGTTGTGCAGGCATGTGTAGCCACGTATACTGTACATGCCTGCACTTTACACCTATCTCTGTAGTGCAGTTTCAAGTTTAACTAAGGCCCCCATCACCTAGGCTAATCAGGAGGGCATCCGTGTCACCGCTATGGCATCCATGTCTGTCCAGTCTCTGCCTCCATCTTGCGATGGAGGAAAAAACTAAAACTGACAGACCCCATGTCTGTCTATGGGGAGTTGAATGTAAAGGGACACATGTCCATTTACATCAGATTACCTCTGATCTGGCACGATCAGGTCCGCCAAAACGGAACTCTGTTCCATTGTTTTTCCAGACCTGACCAGAGTCGAGGGTAAGCAGGTGTAAACGGACACCCATCTGTTTACACTCGGCTGCACATAGACTAGCATAGGGCATCCAATCAGGCCCGCTTGAAGAACTGACAGATGGACCTGATCGGACCGTCCGTGTGAAAGGGGCCTTAAAGTAAAATGTTTTTTTTTTTAGATTTTGGAATGAGTGGTAAGAGGTCAGAACCTCTTTCAAGTCTTAATTATTGTCTGTCCGCCCATTAGGGATTTATTCTTCCTTTCTAATTGTCCTGATCAATGTCACCGAGAATGAAAGTGAGGGCAAATCTAAAAATTTGAGTTTCCACCAGTACAATAATAGAGGATACATCTTCCAATGGGGAAATTTGCTCTCATGAGAATAGTCTAAGAGTGGATTTTGCTCGCATTGAAAATATATTATCTCACTTGTTAAGCCTACAGGACAGGAAGCGAAGGAAAATCTTACTTTTGAAACACAGATGGGAAAAAAGGGTTTAATGCTTGTTAAGTCTAGGGGTAGACTTTTCTTTTTCACCATCCTCTCTTCAACCCAATGCTCTAGGTTGTGGGCAGGCCCTCGCCATCTTCACGTTCAATGCATGGCTATTGGCTATTGGCAACAAAATAAACAAAACATTTTTAGTGATAAGTGTTAGACTTAGCCTCTTATTTCAATTAAAGAAGGACTCCAGGAAAATGTGTAATAACCCCTGCAGTGGGGCTACCCCCACACAGCAAGGGTTAAGTGCTTGTTTTGGTCCAACAAAGCTTGGATACCCCATAGACATATAGACAAAGAAAATTACATTTTTATTTAAGGCATTTCGAAGATTTTTTGGTTCCAACACTGGAGCACACATTCTATAGCATATCACCCTCGTTATTAGATTCAGTGTATATGCAGTGCAAACTGTGTGTGAGAATGTGGGGCGCACACGAAATAGGGCTTAATATCTGCTTAGCCAACATCCAGCCTCAATGTAGCCCATAACATTAGTAAAAATCTACATTAGCTACCTAGATGAACGATCACTTGATTAAATGAGCCAAGGATAGCCTAAAGAAAGTTAAAAATAACAAGCTAACAATAAGCAATGGTGTCACGAGAACATGTGCTAATGCTGGAGTGGGTGCCTGGCATCATCCCAGCAAGGGGATGTGATTCCGGCATCCCTCGCCTCTTCTTCCTCATATGACCATATGAGAGTGGTAGACAGTTCGCTGGAGCTAGTCTGCATCGTTAGGGGAAAAAGAGGAATGAAAAAGGAATGATTGATTTGAATGGCTTGAAAGCTATCAATGAACTGTAAAGTTTAACTGATGATTCTAATGTAGTATTAAAGCCCATTTCCATCTTTGCAGAGGTATGTTTAAAAAAAACATATGCCAGCAATGTACACCTAGTGTACATGAAGCAGACATATGCCGGTACTTTACATGAACACAGAAACTTACTTTTTATGTCATCTTCATCGCCTCGTGGCTCCTTTTGGAATGGTCGCCTCTGTGCTCTGCAAGCAGTCTGTGTAAATTAACACTCTCTCTGAGCTCTCTCCCCCCATTCATTAGTATTCATAATGGCAACCCCCCCTGGACAGTGTATAGTGACCTGGAGAGGCAGAGCTGGTGTGCAGTGATCTTGTTACAATGACTCATAGGGAGGGGTTTAGCTGCTTTACAAGACAACCCCAGTGTCAGACTAAGTTTCCTCTGGAGAAAATGTTTCATTTGTATGACTCAGACCTGCTAAAAAGGCCATAGAAAATTAAGAAAACCCTCAATGTGAGTCATGAAAATGTACACACACAAATACATTATCACTGCACCTCTACATCACCACAGTAAATGCTAATCAAACTTTTTTTCAGACTGAATCCAGATCAAACGAATACACATTGTCCAGCAAAGTATTTCTTTAGGAAAAAATAAATCTGCGCTCCTGGATATGTCTAAATTGTACTTGTACCCAAAGCAGCTATGAAATAAAGGAGGTAAACCGCCTTTAAATAGATAGAGTATTTGTAAGCGCTGTGTTACAAATACTCAAAGTATTTCTTTATATTTGTGCCCAAGCACTTACAATCATCATGTTTCCAAACAGCTCAAACTCTCTCAACTCTGCTTCCCTTAACTTCCTATCCAGTACAATATCACAGCAAAGTCTCCAGCAGATGTCCATCTACTAGCTTGGAAAAGGAAGAAGGGAGAAAGAAAGAGCAGGGAGAAAGGTCTTGCCTTGCTGTGCTTGTGTGTTTGTGGAGACACACACAGCTTACTAGCACACACAAGGGTGGTTCCATAGAAGTGTGTCAGGCCGCCGGGTATCATCTGGTGCTCACATCATTACGTATACACGTGACGTCGTTACATAATGACATCACGTGCACTTCAATGCCTCTGGCCAACTTGGCGATGAACGTTCATCGCCAAGTTCATTCAGGTACGTTCATTCAGCGGAATCAGAGATGCCAGTCCCCTCCTCTCTCATGCAGCTCTCGGGCTCTCGGTTCGTCCAACTTTTCAGAGTGGGTAATACCAAAATGACAGTCAGTCATTCCCTGAAGGTGTCAAGCGGTGTGACCCGCATCCCCATTGTGACGCCACTGCTCCACATGACCCTGCAAGGGAAAGGAGCCACCCTAAACAATATATCAGGTCCAGTGCTCAGGGGACCAGCTGATTCTGCAGGTAGCTAAAACTTTTAATCAAGGCGCAGCCTCCATTTTAAGTGATTGATTCAGCATCTGAAATAGCTTTAAAAACTTTTGAATGTAATATCACTTTAAAGTAGACATGTGCACCGGCAAAAAAATTGTTTCGTTTCGTTTTGATTCAAATTTTGCGTTATTTCGTTTTTCGGGATTTGGGTCTGAAAGTCAATTCGTTTCCGAAACAAATCGCACATGTCTACTTTAAAGCATTCTCGAGCTTTGCCCATGTAGGGTGAAGCAACTGGTATTCTTTGAAGAGACACTGGGGGGAATTTATCAAAACTGGAGCAGACAAAATCTGGAGAGGTTGCCCAGGGCAGCCAATCAGCTTCTCTCTTCCGGTTGCTCAGTTAAGATTTAAAAATGAAAGAGAGAAGCTAATTGGTTGCCATGCACAACTGCTCCCAATTTTGTCTGCTCCAGTTTTAAATAAATTCCCTTAACTGTCATCTTGTCCATGCAGATCCAAGAGACTGTGATTCAGCACAGGGCCCCACTGACCCTATACTCACTTTGCCTGCGTTCCCTCACCGCTCCTTTCTCCGCAGACCTAGGGGAGTGGTGACAGCACTCCCTCAGTCATGTGACAGTGCTTGGGCCAATGGATTGGCTGCTCTTCCCAAGCACTGTTAAAGGAGAGCAGGTCATATGAGGAAGAAGTGGTGAGGGATGCAGACAAGATGAGTTTCTTTGCAGAGACACTGTCACCTAGCATTGGGGAAGTAAAAGGATGCATCGCTTGGGTCGGGGCAATAAAGTGAACCTGTGGCTTTGCACTGTATGGACGAAGGGAAGATTTGCTTTAATAAGTGAAGAAGAACAATGATGATGTGAGAAACGCAGTGACTCATACCATCCAATCAGAAGCCTGTAGAAGTCATCACGTTTAAATCACTGGTCATTATGGGTTATTGTAATGATTTCCTGACTTTAATAAATATAAACACAACTGTGTTTTTAAAGTTTAACTCAAGTCAAAACATTTATTTTTCTAGAATTGGATACAGTAGGATATGGTTAGAAACCCTACCAGGATTGTATTGCTGCCCATGACCGCACTGGGACGTTTTCCCCCCACTACCTGTTTGAAGGGTGTCAGAACATGAAATGAGGGAAAATCTCCCAAAAGGAGACACAGACAGCAATAAAAACCTGACAGATATGCCCAGATTCTAACCTCCATCCAAAAATAAAAAAAAAGTCTTGTTATCATGTTCTATTTGTATACACATTGTATTAGTTAACATATCCATCTATTTTGCTATACATCCTAGGTGGAAAGGTTCCCGTCAGTGAACAGAAGTCATCTGCATTGTCGTCCGCGTTGCCTCCTCCACCACCCATCAAATCACCAGTGGGCCCCTCATCACTCCCAAGTTTACCACCCAGGAACATCCGTCTTCCAGAGCCCATGTAAGTAATGCTTTTAATATATTCAGATAGTAATATCGTATATTGGTAAGATGCAGAGATTGTCCTCATACATAGCTGGAGGTCAGGTGGGGTTTTAAAGGCAACATTTTTTTAAAATGAAAGTTTCTGTTTTGCCCAATTGATGAGATAAAAACATTGAGCACGTGAATTAAAGGAGCACCATTGTGAAAACCTTTCGAGGGAATGTACCAAAACTGGAGCAAACAGAGTCTGGAGCAGCTGTGCATGGCAACCAATCAGCTTCTATTTTTCATTTTCAAAGCTTAACTGAACAAACTGAAGAGAGAAGCTGATTGGTTACTATGGGCAACAGTTTCACATTCTGTCTGCTCCAGTTTTGATAAACTCCCCCATTATACATTGATAACCTACGGGGTCTAAACTTGTAATCATTTAAGCTAAAGGTCTGGTTCATACCTGGGCGTTTTGTAGAGCGTTCGAACGCTCTGCAAAACGCTCAAACACCGAAATCCCATTATTTCCTATGGGTATGGTTCACACCTGGGCGTATTACAGGCCGTATGAACGCACTACAAAATGCCCTACGCTCAAAGAAGTACAGGAGCTTCTTTGGGGCGTTTTTGTCGCGCGTTTCCATTGGGATACAGCCAAGTAGCCCTCGGAAGCGTGCGTTTGTCGCGTGTTTTTTACTGCGAATCACGGTAAAAACGCGCGACAAACACGCATATTCGATACGCCTAGGTGTGAACCCAGCCTTACAACTTTGTTTGAGTGTTTGTATGAAACTCTGCAAAATTGTTTGTCAGAGCATTCGATTTTGCCATTATTGAGTCAAATAATTTAGTTTGAAGCCCCTAAAAATGTCATCCAGACCTGCTACTTAAATAGAACCCCAGAAGTATTAAACAGGTTTCTTTTATTGCATGATGCAAAGCAAAGTTATCAGACAGATGGCCACTATGCTCTCTATCCCCCCGTCCACTGGTCTTGCCACTTCCCCGCTGTAGTTCTAATCAGCAACTGGTGGCATCATTATGTCTCTGCTCGTTATAGTGAGCGAATCCTGGGGTATCAGACTCCCACTCTGAACTAGCCCTCTATCAGTGTGATTTGATTGACAGGCCATAAGTCTCCTAGTCTCTCCCACCTCCTATTACTTCAGCGGGCACTACCCACAACACCTGCGATTCGCAGGCTATATAATCCCGCCCATGTTGATGCCCATTTACTACAGTTCCCATGGCATTGAGGAAACTGTCATTTCATTGAGCGGCGCTATGAGAGGGGAGGAAGTGACATATACGTCAGGATAACATTTCTTCCATGCACCCGACAGAAGCTATTTTTTTTCTGAAATGATGCAATGAAGTATGGGACTTTTTGGGTGAATATCAGCCAACCTGAGAGTTTGTAAGAAGTGAATAGCAGCTTATATGTGAGCAGAGTTATCGCCACTGATTACCAATTTAAAAATGAATGCAATGAAAAAATTTATAGTATATTGCATATTTGCATTTTAAGAAATATATATATATATGTGTGTGTGTGTGTATACAGTATATATATAATGTCCATCAGCCCATGGGGTTGTAGTGGTTATTTCCTGACTGAGGAAATATTAACAGCTAACATTTTCTTAACTCAGATAGAAAACAAAAAACATTTTTCAACCTGGGCCTTCGATATTTCTCATCGCTGTGCTCCAAAATTATCCTTGATTTGTCCCCATTAACTGTTACAAAATCAAAAGACAGTTAAAAAAATTATTATTTTTGAGTGACATTCTAACCACATATGGTTAACTTAAAGTGACATTAAACCCTCAGATTGTTTAACATAAACCAATACTGTAATGTGCACCTTACTGTAATCCATGGTAGTTTCCCTTCTCTTTGCTGCTCTTCCTTTTAAATCCTCATATCTTCTCATGCTGGGGGACAACTTCCCTTTGCAGCTGAGTGCCTCTTCCTGTAGTGCTGGCTCAGGTTACAAGCCTATACAAACCTATACACAGACACCATGTATCCATTCCTGAGACAAGGCATTCTGCTGCAAAGGGAAGTTCTGCAGAGCATGAGAACAGATACAGATTTAAAAGGAAGAGCAGCGAAGAGAATGGAAACAACCATGGATTACAGTAAGGCACACATTGCAGTATTGTTTTATGTTAAAAATGTTTAATGTCACTTTAAATCAATTTCTTTTATTATTTCCCAAGCCTTTGATACATGCCGGCCAAGCTGGCCAGCAAAAACGACAGTGACGGTGAATGAGACAAATTATAGGGTCTCATTCACACAGGCGTAAAGAACAGCTTTTTGCTTCATGTTAATAAAATAAGTCAAGGCACCTGGACTTGCTGTATTTTTCTTGAAGACATTTCACTGGTCGTCCAACCAGCTTTCTCAATTTAGAATGACTTGTACAAAAAATTCTGAATTCATTCTGAATTGAGAAAGCTGGTTGGATGACCAGTGAAACGTCTTCAAGAAAAATATAGCAAGTCCAGTTGCCTTGACTTATTTTTACAGATATACCCTGACCCGGATGAATGAGAACCTTCACAGACATGTTAATAAAGCTTTCATAACACTAAGGGGCTGATGTATAAATGCTTCAACCAGCTTGCATCTGAGCGAATGCCATTTGCATGACATTCGTGTCACTAGATATCAGAATTTCCTATGCTCCTTTATCTTTGCCTCTATTCGCATAGAATGAATGTTCATAGAGATTCGCAGTGTGAATGGCTCCGCCTATTGTTTATAAATAGACCTTTTGAATTTTACTGCATGAAAATGTATTTCAAGTAGAAATTATTTTTTTCCCCTATGTGGCTGGTTTACTTCTATGTTGCAGTTTTAGTGTGTTTTTAAATGGAAACTCTAAGGGCCCATTCACACCTATGTATGTGCGTCATCACATGTGTGTTGATGAGTATGTGCATAGGTGTGAATACACTCTTTATGTACGAGGCAGCTACTCACTAAATCCCAAATTTGCCTTTTATTTACAAGAAGGAGCACTGCCAACCTCAAACTTATTTGAGCTCGCACGGCCAGGAAAGTTGACCCATCAGTCATTAGTATTAGTAAGAAAATGTGGAAGTACAGAGGTTAGTATTTGCATGCAGACTCACTGAGGGCTGCAACAGAATGAAGCAACATATGATGAAATCATCTGACAGATCGCTTACAAACACCATCAGATATGGGAAATCTACAAATAGACAAGCATGCATTGCATTTTCTGAAACTTGTGCTGGGAGATAGATGGGGCTCCCAGTGCTAAAGTCATATTAAAGTCAAAAGTTTTTAAAGCTATTTCACATGCTGATGAAATCACTTACAATGGATGCTGCTCCTTCATATCTAAAGGTTTTATTTTCCTGCAGAATCAGCTGGTCCCCTGAGCACTGGACCTGATATCCAGTTTTAAGGGGGCTCATTTCCCTATCAGGGTCCTTTGGAGCCACCCTTTGCGTGTGCTAGTAAGCTGTGCGTGTCTCCACAAACACACAAGCAAAACAAATGGCAAACGCACTCATCAACTCATAACCAACTTTAAAGCAAGGTGCACATGGAAGGGCTTTCAACAGTACCACAAACACACAGACACAGTAAGGCAAACCATTCAATTACTCTCTACTCCCTTCTGCTTCCTCTCTCTTCATTTTCCTCTTCTACTAAGCTAGTAGATGAACAGTTGCTGGAGACTGCTCTGTCCCTAGTGTTCTTGTACTGGGCAGGAAGTTCAGAGAAACAGAGTTAAGAAAGTTGGAGCTGTTTGGAAACATGATGACTGTAAGTGCATGCCATAAATTGAAAGCAATACTGTGCTGCGCAACGTATATGTGTTTCATCTGGATTCATTATTGAAAAATGTTTGAGAGTTTAATATTACTTTAACCTCCTTTTGTAATTGCTATTTGGTCGGAATCTCCCGATTTTTTTGCCTTCCTCTGGATCAACAGGGGGTAACTGTGAGCATAGGGCTCTGTTCATGGAGGCTGTTCTGTTTTTGTTTTCTCTATAGGTTGAACTACATGGTGTCTTCTTTCTATGTCCTAACTATGTAACTATAGCCAGTACACTAAGGTCCAGAAGTAGTTTACTCTTTACATTTACTAAAGAAAGTCATTTATAATTAAAAAAAATTGAAACATTTTTGCAAAGAAAGTCTAAAAATAAAAGGAGAAATGGAAATATAGTTTAGGAAAACAGAACTCCGTTCTAAATATGAAGCATTATATTGCTTTAAAATGAGGAACTGTTCCAACCATTAAATATAATGATATAAAATGCTCATTTAACTTTCTATCTATTGTAATGCAGTGAATACCCAATTTATTACCTAAATTCTGCAAAATGTTGTCAGAGCCGGCCCCTTCCATCATAACGTGCTGCAAAAACTTACAATGGCTTAAGGAAAATGAGTTCTCACTTAAAGATTTATGGTGGTCTTCAGCATCTGTCACACTCCAGGGTATGATGGATGCTTGATCCCACACTGCACACCATGGTGCCATCCAGCTAAAACAGTATTATCAAAGAAGAAGTGCAGTGACCTAGTACAATAAGACTCAACATTTGTTATATTAAAATGTATGTGTATGATGGACTCGCAAATACCATCCCAGGCTCAATCCCTCCCTACAGAGTCTCTTTACCCCAAGCTCCATCCTAATGTCCTTGTTGAACAGAACCATCCCTCCTGTGCTTACAGCTGTTAGGGGTTTTCTTCTGGTGTTTCTAGGTCCATTCTTGGTTTTTCTTGGTCCCTTAGGCATGGAGTTGTTTCATTATGTGATAATAGCCAATGCAGTGCTAATAAACTACATTTTCTTTTTTAATTCACAGGATGCCTGATGATGAAAATTATGATGACGTTGAAGGTATGTATGCTGTACAAATGTAATAATTGTTTTGCTAGTCATGATACCATGATTCATGTTATAGAAGAAAAATATATCCTGTCTGAACCTTACCTACAAATGCTTGATATCACTTTGTAGTACTGAGGTATACAGGGGCACTTATAAAGGCAAGGTTACAAAGGCCTTTGCTAGTGTAAGACGTAAATGACCAATGCAAGGCTAAGTGACATCAAACAACCCTGAAAGGTTTTTCATATTAAGGACAATAATTTGATATCATAATGCTCTAGACATGTATTATTGATGAGTCTCTTTCATACAAGCACCGACCTATGGTCACCCACTGTGGTCCTTTGTGGTAACTGCAAACATATCAACCAGAACATGCTGTTTAAGGCATCTATTGAATTTGCTGGGCTACCTCTAGAATGTACAGTGTACAAATCCAGTTAGCTCCAAACTTCCTGGGCACTCTGGCTATGCTGTATTGAAATCCCAAAGTGTTATTAGCCCTGGCCAGTTAGCTATGTCAACTGCAGAACACCTCGTCCTTACATTATGAAGATGAAGAAAGGGGGATGTGTTCTGCAGTCCAAAGCAGAAGGAAGCGGCCTAGGGTGACAACACTGCTCCTCCATAGATAGAGTACAATGAGTGAGTCTTGTCACCCTAGGAAGTGTGTTCAAGGTAGGATCACCAGGGAAAAATATAGGAAAAAGCCTGAGAAAAGAAAACGAATGTTGCCACTACAGCTAAGGACAGGTAATCTAAAATATATATTACATTTTTGTTCTTGGATTTACATACTGAATTATTGAGATGCTGTAAAATGCAAAGAAGGGGGAAAGTAATAAAGACAATGCCATTTATTCAAAGGGACACTAAACTCAGGAGTTAAACCTTAAAAATGTATTCAAGTACATTAACTATTAACAAAAATGTATCTTATTTGTGTATCACTTGGCTGTAGATCCTCAAATCATCTCTGAATTGGTGCTTTTATTGAGGTCTGTAGTCATTTAACTAACTGGTTACCATGTGATAATTGCTATTAGTGCAATACATGTGACAAATAGCACCTCGCGCCAAACCCTGTGTAGCTGCAAGCACTATAAGAAGTGTTACCCTCTGAATATATCAAATTATAATGAATGTGCTGCGCTTCATCTAGAACAATACATAAACAAATCTCTATAATAAATATGTGCTTAAATAATACATGCAATCAAAAAAGTGTTCACAATGAATCTTCTTATAAATAATAGTCCTCTGGAAAGTTCAATCATAAATTTCGTGTTCAAATATACACAAATGTGGAATCACACATATATAGTGCTCAAAATGCACCACACTCTTTATCCTTCCACTGTGAAAGTTCTTTGTACAAAGTCCATACGTCAACTCCAATTATCACCCAGGTGCTCCCCCTCTCAGTGGGCCGCTCACCCTATAAATAGACCTGAACAGGTCTAGAATCGCTTTAATGGGTCTCCAATCGATCTTATTCAAAGGCCATCTCTCCACAATCGTTGCACAGAAAATGACGTCAGCATTTCATCACGACCATATCCAACAAAATATAAAAACAGCCCATAGCGTAAAACCGCAAAATTAAAAAACCTCCTTTATTTTAAAAAACTACTCACATGAGGAAAGTAGACATAATACTTCAAATAAAATGTATGCTCGACAACTCTCTCTCCCTGTCACCGTGTTCTCTGGGAGCAAAGACAGATCAAATAGGAGCTGTGCTGCAGACCATGCAATCTCCAATCCACGTCTGGTGCAAACACAGGATGAAATACCTCTGCTCCACCCCTCATTGCAGACCCAGCTTATTGTGAACACTTTTTTGATTGCATGTATTATTTAAGCACATATTTATTATAGAGATTTGTTAATGCATTGTTCTAGATCAGTGGTTCTCAACCTTTCTAGGGCCGGGACCCCTTGGTAACATTTGCCAAGTTGTGGTGACCCCCAACGGTAAAATTTAGGGATGACGCGGCTGCTGCAGCGACATCTGGAGGCGTGGCAGGAGAACTGACACTGCTGCGCTAGGAGAGAGCTGAGGAGGACTCTCACCTTGCACAGCGACCCACAGGTTGAGAACCACTGATATAGGCAAAGACAGGACCGGGATCTGCAGCTGGAACTAGAAGAATTGGATTTAAAGTATGAGGTACATACTCTGCAGTACTGTCACTGATAGGGATGGGCTCGGGCGTGTTCGCAGCTCCACGTGCCAAGCCCGCCAGGAAGCTGACAGCGCCAATCACAGGCACTGAGACATTTCCCGATCTCTGCAGATGCGGACCGGGAACATTGAATGCATAGCTAGAGGTGTGTTTTACATATTTTTTTGCTTGAATACATACATATTGCACTCACCCTCTGCTGCTGTCAATCACTAGAAGGGGACCTGATGGAGTCCCCTTCTAGTGAAGGAATAAAAAAACAATCATTTTTTATAGTAAATATGTAAATGCTATATAGTAAATTTATGTTTTCTTTTTTAGGACCCTCAATCAATGATATAGTAAGTAATTTTTTCACCTGTGAAAGAGTGAATTACATGTATGTGCAACTGGAAATATTGGCATTTTGCATATGTTTCTGTAAGTCTATGGATAGAGCTCTTTCAGCAGATTTTCAGCAAAAAAAAAAATCTAGGCAGCCGAGTGAATAACCGACCCGAAGTGAAGTGTTCGGCTATTCACTTCAGGCTTGTAGCAGAGTAAACCTTTCTGGGAGAAAGTGTTTCCCTCCTGGGCGGCCGGGAGCCGTATTAGATTCCCAGAGCGTCCGGGAGAGTAATGACAGATCAGCGTCCCTGGTTGCCAGGTAACCAGGGACGCCATCTGTCATTACACACTGAGAACCCGGAGAGGCCGTTGTGATATCATAGCGACCCCGCCGGGTTCTCAGTGTGTAATGACAGATGGCGTCCCTGGTTACCTTGTAACCTGGGACGCTGATCTCTCTGCAAGTGGCCGGAGCCAGCCGTGAGATGACACCTAGCTCCGCCCAGCTGTTAGAAGCAGGCTGTCGGCTGGCCAGTGGCCGGCCGTTCGGCCAGCTTTGGCTTTCACCTCGGCTTAGTCGATCCGAGGCATATGCCTACAGCTCGACTGAGCCGCTCGGCCAACTTCGGGACCTTACGGGCTATAGTGAATAGCCCGTACACAAGCCCTTCGGTTCTACTAAACCGAAGGGGTCCTGGGGCCGAAGCTAGACGAAGGATCAGCCGAAGCTACGACTAGATCCTTCGGCAGCTTAGTGAATAGACCCCATAATCTCTAGGTGTCAACTATATCTTCTCACAGTAGTTTTTAAGCATGGGTGTTAAATTGCACTGCCCAATATAGAGATAAATAATACAATGTGCCTGAAGCCTGCATTGGATTAATTTAATTACCGCAGACTCTACATCCTTGTGATATACATAGGGAAAGATTATGGGAAAAAGTTTTGCTTCTTGAGCTTTTCCTGTCCATATGACAGGGTGGTGAGCATGCAGAGCAGGGATGACAGTTAGGATGAGACAATTATACCTGGGTTCGTTTCACGCAACCTTCACCAAATTGCACTGAAATTCAAAGGTTATTCTGAACCCCAATGAAGTGGAAGCTGAATACAGTATTTTAAAATCAATTCTCTCCACAGGCAAGATATTGTCAAACAAGGGGCATGGAGAGCTGGACGCTTCCCAAGGGGACATGTACTAATGCAAATAAAAATTCTAAGTTTGTTCAGAGGAGAGCAACTTTTTTTAATAATGCTTAAAGTGGAACAATAAAAACAATATACAATAAAAATGCAAAATTCCATTAAATAACATGCATTAAATCCATTCTCAACTGTTGGGTCACAACCTCGTGTTGAGTGGGTCACCACGTGCCTTCCACTGTGCTAGGTGAGAAGCTCCTCAGCCTCCTCCTAGCGCAGCACTGTCAGTTCTTGTGCAGAGCAGCCATTAAAAACAAAAATGGTGTCTGTCACCGAGTGTCAGCTTGAGATGTGGGAATGGCCGAGAGGGAGCTCCATCCATACTTGCATTGCTTACAGCTCCCTCATTTGCCCTGTAGAGGTACCTGGACCGGAGTGACGTCACATTCTGCCTCCCACACAGTTCGATCACCCGATCTTGGGTCGCGACTTAATGACCAAGGACAAATGTGGGTCCTCAGGTTACACTGGTTGAGAACCACTGGTTTGAATTACATAGTTGAGTGATTATCTAAACCTGAATGTATGCTGGGCTTTAAAGCTGAATGTATGCTGTATGCTGGGCCCTAAAGCTGAATGTATGCTGTATGCTGGGCCCTAAACCTGGCTGTATGCTGGGCACTAAACCTGAATGTATGCTGTATGAAATGCTGCATGTAAACAAAAGGGGTGGGGATGCTGGCTGATTTAGTTACCGTACCCCTTAGAGGAGTTTTATGTCTCATGGCATTTGATTTTTATTAAAAACACTTTATTAGCGTATTTAAGCATATAAATATAAGGGTTTTTATGCAAAATATATTTGGCCAATTTAGATCTAAACCCTGAATGAGTTCAGCTTTAAGGAATAGCTGGAGTCTGGTGGGCCAAGTCGTGCAATGGCTAATGCCCCGTAGGAGATCCAGCAACAAGATCCCACCAAATAATTTATAGTGACACTAAACTCAGGAGTTAAATTAAAAATATATTCAAGTACCTAAACTATGAACAAAAATTTATCTTATGTGTGTTTCACTCGGCTGTAGACCCTCAAATCAACTCTGAATTGGTGCTGACACTGTCCTTCCTTCTGGAGGGGGGCTACTTTTGTTCCTCATGGTCCCTGTGTGTGTTGTAAAGTAGTCACCGCTCCAAGCTCACTCCTGTGATGGACTACAAACTCACTACAAGTAAGTAAAATATAGAGAGATTGTAGTGACACTAAACTCCTGAGTTTAGTGTCACTAGACATCAGAAACTATTTGGCAATCCATCTCTCTAGCATCTACCAAAAAATGATATAATTGTGTCTGGTCAGACTGACAGGTTAAATGTGCAAAGAAACCTACAATGTGAGTTACAGCAATATACACAAGTACCAGGCCAGAGACAGCATGACAGAAACACAAAGAACTAAACGAGATGGACAATGACACAAGACAGACAAAGGCCTACAGGAACTCACCCCAAACATATATGACAAAGACTGTCAGGAACACTGATCTGACTATTGCATCCATTCAGGTTTCAAAGTGTCATTTTTCTAATGCAGAATAAATAAGGTTTATAACTTTGTATTAAACATAATAATGATAATGTTCTGTTGTTTCTTTATTCTTCTGCAGAGTGAGGAGAGTGATGAAGAGCTCTATGAAGGACTTGACGAGCCAAGGTATATTTTTATATACAGTACTGGTGTTTCTCTCTGTGTTAACCAAAAGGGTGGTTCATTTTACCAAGTGAAAAAAAAGAAAATAAAGTGAAGGTTTTTTGACAATATCAAACATGAAGGTTTTATGTTTTATCTTATATAACACTTTTAGGCTTCATTCATACTATGCGATTTGGGATTCCAGCGGCAGGAGCCTACAGATTCCTGCAGAGAGTGATGTATTCCAAACCTCATGTTATCATATCACATACAATTACAAGCAGACTGCCGCTTACAGGTGCGGCTGCTGTCACCTGGTCATTAACATGAACTGAAACAGTAGCCTCAGCTAAATGGGACATTTGGAATTCCTGCTGCAGCAATATGTAGGTTCCTGAAGGTGGTATCCCAAATCTTGTTGTGTGAATGAAGCCCTATTTTATTTTTATTTTTTCCATTTCTAAACTGACACTGTCACGAGGGAAGCTGCCATTGCTGTCCTCCTGAAAACACTGTTAGTTGCCTGGCTGTGTCTGATTAAAAAGTGGAACGTGGAACTCTATTTAAAACAACAACAAAAAACAACACTCACTATAC